ATCTACTCTACAACCTATCCTACAACTACAGCAATGAACAACAACCAGACAACTTGACTACCAGCGAGTGATGATGTCAACACCAATGCAGACCTCCACCATCACCAGGTACGTGTCCTCTTCCCCACACTCTCCCTTGTTACCCACACAGCGCCCTTCACCTCCGAAGTACCACCTTCGCCCTCACCTCCCCTGCACCCTCATGCGGCCCGGCTATGGCCGCCAGTGCCCTGCACGCAGGCAGCGCCCTACCGCCTAGCGCTGGCCTGCCCTGTCTTAGCGCAGCGCTGCTCTGCATAGCGCAACACACTTGCATCTGCACAGCGTGCCCGCATATGCCAGCATTGGCCAAGATGCCCGCTGCCTTGCCCTGCTTGCCTATATGCCAGTGCAGCGTGTGGGCGGCCTCCCTTCAGCCAATGACCGAGGCCCGGAGGCTGAAGCCAACTCGATACAGTTGGGCCCCGGGGCAATGCAGTTGCGCCTCCTTCATCAAGGCCTGCGGCCAGATTCAGACAGTGGGCCGATTTCCCTTTGGCATTTTCGGCCTCTCTACCCAGCATGCATTGTCGGCCTCACGTTCGAGTGCCCAGGGCCTAACTAACTCAGAGGCCCTGGGCATTTCAGCATTTGCTGAAATCCGAGACTCGGTGCACTCCAACCAACTGGCATGCTGCAACTGTATAGACCCCACTTCGTGAAATGTTGGCACAGAGGGCTCTTGTTGATTTGCTGGCCCGCCTTCACTTAGGGCGGGCACTAGGCTTCCTGGGGCCTTAGCCCAAAACATGTACATCATGGCAAGGCCCCTACTTGAGGGCTCAATCCTCACAGTCAGTAGAAGTCAAAGTAGATAGGTAGGGGAAATAGCTATGGCTGTCAGGCAATGCGATTGTCAAGCTTTACTGTCTACAGACATACAATTTCAATATCCCCAGTCTAATTACAACTATCAGACTCGCCACAGAGACTTGAGTAAGGAACACACTTACTTCAGGTCAAAACACTGGAAGAAGAAGTTGAACTGGCTATGGCTGCCATCTCGCCAGTTTCTTCAGTTCACTGTTCCTGGTGCTCCCACATTCCAAATCTCCTGAAACTTGGTGATACTGTAGTTCTTGATATGGCGATTAATCCCCACTAGTCAGATTCACTGTATCTTGCCCAAAATCTGAAACTCGATATACCCCTAGGTATCTCGCCACTAGCAGAGTCAACGCCTGGGCTAAAAATAGCCCCTCAGTGCCTCCCAGGCCACTGACCACTGAATCGCCGCCAATCTCTGTGTCATACCAGCCGCCACACACTCTTCACCAACACCCTAATGAGCGCAATCCTGAAGATGCGATTTCAACATGAATCCTGACGTCAGGAGCTCTCAGGTAGTGATGGTTGCCTCAGTCCATCATCTCGCCACTGTCTGGGTACGATCTGCTTCGATACCAACTGTTATGAACATGATTGTCTGTTGAAATTTGATCAACACTCACTCACAGGAACTCCCGTACACGCCCATACATGCACAGAAGGAAGGGGAGAGGTAGTGGAGTATCACACCGCCCAACAGAAAGAAACGCAGCGGAAGACTCAGAGGAGYGAAGTGACAGAACACACAAACTGCGAGTTCTCTCCACACAAGTCCCAACAATCATTCATAGAAGACAAYCGGGYGATCACAGCCATAAATCAATGAAGAGATGACAACTCAAACACAGTATTATAACTGTTTATTAAACTAAGAGCATCGTTTTCCCCGAACACCCTCAGATCCCTGTTGCGCTACCCTCAGAGGGGTAGCGCCTCAACCCCACCACCCGGAACAACTAAAAATAGCACCGAAAACCCAGGTAACACCCAGAGCCACCCTGACATCCAACTCAGTGGCCTGCGCCAAAGCGAAACAGGCTCCCAGAGCTAATCGCCACCCAGATGATGAAGAAGAAGCTCAGCGCCAACAGTCCCTGGCGAAGATGAAGTCCAGACGATGATATCTCTGAGAAGATGCAGCTATGGYTGCATCGCCACTGGGACCCTACTCMTGAGGAGGGTCAGCAGTGCACCACGTGCTCCAACGCATCAGACCTCTGATAGCCCAGACCGCTTTGACTCCCGGAGAGTCAGAGCGGACAGCGTTGACCCCAGTCTGGTCAACGCTCYRAGGGTYTGGCTATGTYCGYCGTCTCCACCACGRGAATCAGCARYCACGACCTGATACCGTGTGCGCAGCAACTTCCACCACGAAGTGTCAACTGCCAAAAGCCCAGGACCGATGTCCCCATCCTATCTATACTCTACTACTAGCCTAGACCGACCTAGACCGGACTGACTGACTGACCGGTACCGTTTCTGTTTCGGCCTCTAGGGCCTCTCCCTACCCGGCTATAGGCTATAGGACCGTCTATCAGCGTAGGCCCATAGGGCCTGTCTGTCCTAGGGGTAGCCCGGGTCTGCTGTTTGCAGTTAGGGTAGCTGTACGAAAATCGAGCTAGTACTGGGCCCATATTTCTATATTTACAGATATGTCCCTCACAAATTTTCCATACAGGCAGGTCCCTCGGTTAGTCCTCAGCCAAACAAAATTACGAATCTGTCCCTAACCATGGTACAGCCTCGTCAGAGTGAGGCTACAGGTAACCTGGAACCAGCAAGTCATTGCACAAGTGAGTGGGGATGGGTTAGTCGCATGCCTCGATGAAAAAGGGATGAAGGGTTTAGTCTTAGACTTAGAACATGGAGGTAGAGGGAGAGAGTTGGCGGATGGGAGGGAGGGAGGGGGAGAGAGAGAGAGAGAGAGAGAGAGAGAGAGAGAGAGAGAGAGAGAGAGAGAAAGAGAGAGAAAGAGAGAGAGAGAGAGAAAAGAAGAGAAAGCGAGGGAGACTTTCTATGCCTAATCAAACCTTCCTCCCTCCCCCCCCTCCCCTCTCCTTGTACTCATCCTCTCGCTTTACCAAAGAGCCCCTTTTACGTTCTGAAGTCTTATACTATGTAAGAATGACGCCCGCCGAGTGATGGAGATGGAGGAAGGGGACGGTGCAAGGTGGTTTGCTATGGTGGATGGGTGATGGCAGAGAAAGAACAAGGTGCAAGGTGGTTGGCTATGGTGGATGGGTGATGGAGTTGGAGGAAGAAGAAGGTGCAAGGTGGTTGTCTATGGTGGATGGGTGAGTGGAGGTGGCGAAAGAAGAAGGTGCAAGGTGGTTGGCTATGGGGGGTGGGTGATGGAGGTGAGGGAAGAAGAGATGCAAGGTGGTTGGCTATGGTGGATGGGTGATTGAGGTGGAGGAAGAAGGTGCAAGGTGGTTGGCTATGGTGGATGGGTG